CGGCGCCGCGCGTTTGGGTCCACGGGCACGACACTCTCGGTGGATGAAGCCACCGTCGGTAGCAAAGCGCGCATAAAAGGGAAACCGGTGTCGCATACATCGGCTCTGTGGCAAGTGGCGAGACTTCCATACGTTCGGTTCTCGATTGTCCTGATGAAACGCTCGCTTCAAACTGACTTTGTCTGGTTGCAGGATCATCTTGCCGCCAATAGAGGGGGCGAATGCACGGGGAAAAGGTGAAATGATACGACTGACCTATCCGACGAGAAAACATGGACCAATTTTTCCCCTCAGCCGTACAGACAACTCAGGTCAGTGCATCCACATCTCTTTTTACCTGTTCGTTTGTGAGGTTTATGTCCTGAAGAATGCGACTGAAGTGGAACTCTTGGACCGGAAGCTTCCTTCAAAAAAAAAAAAAATAATAATAATAATCATTTAAAATGATGGGATCGCTTCAGGGTTGTCAGTGATGGAGCGCCGAGATTGGACTAATGAGCGACCAAACCACGATTCAACTTTCTGGCCATGATTCCAAAAGGTACGTTTGGCGCAAATGCAACTCTTCATTGTTTCGGGTGTGTCTTTGACAGCGAGTTTGACCCCCCCCCCCCCAAAAAAAAATTAAAAAAATAAAAACCGTGATCCCGTAAGCTGACGTACTTTGCTTCGCTGGCCGTGAGGTGTCTTAGCAGGACGTTTGTTCCGAAAGTCAGGCCGTCCATGTCCTCCGTGGCTGTGGCAAAGACCTTCCCTGCTTTGACCAGAGCGGCGCAGCTGGCCTCTGCCTCACACGGCGCCTGCAAACGCGCGTTCAAGACGAGCGCCGTGAAAGCAGTCGACTTTTTTGTCATGGCGAGCACACCTTGACCACGCACGTTTACATAGAAGCCCAAAAGAAGCAAAAGCTTTGCAATTTGGTGTCCGTGTCTGCCGTCGCCATTTCCAATCGGGGCTCTCCTCTCCTGGATGAAGTCGCCGGGAGGACGTTTTTCAAAGGACCGTTCTCCAAATGGCCGACTCGCTTTGTTTTTGGCCATGGGTCTTTTGAGACTTTTTCGTACGTGCAACTTTGTGTCGAAGGGTGAAACACATTTCTCGGTACCACTCTAGGTGGGCTACTTGTACATTTTCCGTTCCATGAAGGTGCATGATATTTGTAGTGAAGTTGTGCAGTCTGGTTGGATGGGAAGGCGTCGATTGCAACATTTTCATCCAGACCACCACAACAGATTCCTTTTGGTCGTGAAAGCAGTCATTGCGCTGGTCCGGGTCCATTATTTGTTTCTTTTTTCAAAATCGACTTGATTGAAAAGGAGAAGCTTTGTCAAAGAAAGCCAATCGGCTACTCGCCTCAATGTAGGGCACTCCCATCAGAGTCAGCAGCTTCTTGCACTCATCGTTATGCTGCCTGGTGACTTTGACAAGACGTTTGGAGAATTTGTCAATGTTTTCTTGTTCCCCTGCGTCGAAAAAACACAACGTCTTTTTTATATATACATATTATATATATAAAATCATGGCTAAATCGAGATTTGACTGTCAATGGAATTCTGTACCAAGTTCTTGGGCTTGCGCAAGCATTTTCTCAGCTTCTGCTCTCCTCTCCACTCTCTTTTCCACTTTCTCTCTCTCTCACCCACCCACACACACTTTTTGGGGGTGGGGTTACACCCGGTCTGGCACAATTACGGGAAGGGACGAAAACCCACTCGCGGCCTTGCTTAGTACTCCGGACAGGACGCTCGTCCCTGCTGATAACTGTCAGGCCAACGTGGCGACCACTAATCTGCCGCGCTGTCTGTTAGCCAATGAGAAGTCGTCAAAACGTTCCCAGGGTGTATTCATGCCAGTGTCAGATCTGTTTTTGGTTGTGACTCGCCCATAAACACAAGAAAACGTAATGAACAAAATTAATAAACGGCAGCGGGTGTGCACGCAGACCTCTCCGGACTTGAGCTGCGGGGGCTTGCCATCAAACACGTACACCGGTTTAATGCCATGTTCCAGCATGCGGATGGTCCTGTAGAACATTCCCATGAGGTGGCTGGGAACGAGAGGCACAATGAAAAGCGGCGTCGGAAGACACAACCACTGGGCTGATGAACTAGCACGGATATCAAGAGGAAGATTTCTGTTCCTTCGAGATGACGTGAAAAGAAATGCTTCCTCTTGATATGACCATTTGAAGACAATTTGATATGTCTATGCCCCTCGTCATGATTGGCGCGCCGTTCGAGGCTCTCTCACGCTGCGTGCTCGTGAGGCCAGGCAACCCTGGCAGAACTTCCAGCTTGGAAACGCAAAGCCCTGGTCAAAAGGTTTCCGGCGCGTTGACAGAGAGCCGCTTTGGCGGCGTCTGAATGCGGGCGGCGTCCTTCTCGAAGGTCCGCCTGATGAATTCCACAATTGCCACCTGGGCGAATCGGCCCACCCACGCTAACACTTTGCGCTTTTTTTGGGGGGTTGGGGTCGTGTCTTGAGCGTCGTACCTGGTTGTCTCTCCGTCCTCACTCTGCAGTACGTTGCCATCCTGTCGCACGGCAATCAGGAACTGGTAGATGCACATGGAGGCATCTATGGCAATTTTCCGACCTGGGTGAAAAAAAACTTTTCTTTTGTTTTGTTTGTAGCTCATTGCCAACGGGTGGCGATGTTTATCCTCCGTAGCCGCTTAATATGTGATGTCTCTCAAGCAGACCTCGTCATAATCGCGTAGTAAGACCTTACATCCCTTACCGAAGTAGTTCTTGAAGTCTTGCTCTCTTATGGCACTAGGAGCCTGGTCGGCAATGAGCTTGGCGAGTCCGTGTATACCCATTGTGGTCGCGGGGAGCTCAAATCAAGAGGCCGAAGCTCTGAGGGGAAAAAAAACATTCCAAATAGTTACCGTAATTACTGCTGATTTGCTGTACAGTCATTCCTAAGCCTCTGGTATTTGAGGCGCTTGAGCAAGACGCGCGCCGCACATGCTACAGTGCGATGCAGACAATGCGCGACGCTCGCAGCGTCACGGAAAAAAAAACATTCCAAATATTTACCGTAATAACTGCTGATTTGCTTTACCGTCATTTCTAAGCCTCTGGTATTTGAGGCGCTTGAGCAAGACGCGCGCCGCACAGGCTACAGTGTGATGCAGACAATGGGCGACGCCCGCAGCGCAAAGACTTTCCTATCGATGCGCTCATGACCATTTACATGGCTTGTTATAACAAGACCGTATGATTGGCCAGTCGCGGATCCAGGATATCCGGCAAACAATTTACGGTTGTTGCCACCGGGTTGACGTCTCGCACTCGTTAAACGTACGCGTTTGGAAGCTTCCGAACATAATCATATCATTTCAAATTGTCTGCGGGCGAGAATTCGTATTGGTCGTGTGCGAGGAGAGGACGGCGTGGGCGTGTTTTATATCTCCGCCCACTCCGGAAAACTGAAGTGAGCTTTGATTATTTTTGTTTTTTTTTTTTTAGGTGACGTGGAGTTCGACGCTTTGCTTTTCTCGAGTCGGCGCATGTACGCAAGTATTCTGACGAAAATGGCTTGTTCGGAATTTAAAGCTTGAACACGATACCCCCGAATGATTCGCTTTTTTAAGTCGACACACTTGAGCTCCGGCGTCGACGTGGGGGCCTAAGTTGGAGGATTGCGACGCGGAGAAACAGGTTTGTTGCGCCAGCGTCACACATCGGTCGCACCGGGGCGATCAAATGGATACTAAATGACAAACTGCGACCAGAAACCAAGGAAAAGTGCATTGAACGCTTCTAGTTGATGACGTCTTGGTGTGAGAGAGCCTTATATCGATGTGCACTTCAATGAGAGCAAATGAGTTACAGCTCAGTTCAAGTGCGTCTATAGAGCGCCAAGTCACCTTAGAAATGGTCTCAGGGCAATCATATCATATCAAATTGTCGGCGGGCGAGAATTCATATTGGTCGTGTGCGAGGAGAGGACGGCGTGGGCGTGTTTTATATCTCCGCAAACCAAGGAAAAGTGCATTGAACGCTTCTAGTTGATGACGTCTTGGTGTGAGAGAGCCTTTTATCGATGTGCACTTCAATGAGAGCAAATCAGTTACAGCTCAGTTCAGGTGCGTCCATAGAGCGCCAAGTCACCTTAGAAATGGTCTCAGGGCACTTTGCACGTGTGGCAATGACGCTACTAACCAACCACTTCCTAAAAGACAAGCCGAACCTCAGAGAGGTGACAGGAAATGTTGTCCTACAGCCTTGAGAGTACAACTTGGCTCTGCCCCCGCCCCACCTCTCTTTTTGGAATGCGCTAGATTAAAAGTAGCCTTGAGCAATCGTTTTTGCAAAGCATCATTTTCAGGTGGCCGAAAACCTGTGCTTATTCACGCTTATGAGCTCGAGGTAGCTCCGCACAGCTGTCGTGGCTTCGACTCCACCTGCTCGTGAGTCCCTCGAAATTTCATACCTGTGCCAAAGTATCAGAGCATTTTCCTCAAAATTGGATCGGATCGGATTGGATTGGATACAACTTTATTGTATCACGTCCAGGCGTCCGGTAATGGCACAGATATCGTCGCGCTCCTTCGAAGAGGTCTGGGAAACTGATGGCTAACTCTTTGTGTCCGCACCAGCGGTTATGCACTGCGGAAGAGGACCCCAGCCAGGCGGCCGGCGCAAAACCATGACCCTGCCTTGCGTCTTCGTCCTCTGCCTCCTGTCAGCTGTGGCGCTGGGCTACAAGCAGGGGGACAAAGTGACTTTGTATGTCAACAAAGTGGGTCCTTATCATAACCCTCAGGAGACGTATCACTTCTACACTTTGCCTGTTTGCAGGCCGGACAAGGTCAGTATTAACATTGATTTTTTTTTTTTTTTCATTCAAGCGGTAGTTGGCGACCGCCGCTTTATTGGATATTTTCGGCTGAAGCAAATGCACCAGTCGCCGTCTCGCGGTGAAATATTTCGACAAACGCGGCAGGGTGAACAGTGGTTGGCACGTCCGTTTTGCGGTCCGAAGTCTCAGCTTTCAACCTGGGTTCTTGCCCTCCGGTGTGGAGTGTACACGCTCTCCATTTTCTCCGTACTCCAACGGGTTTCCGCGCTTTCGAAGTATATACGTGTTGGAAGACTCTTACTTGGCCAATAGGTGTGAGTGTCAATAGTTGTGGTTTTTGTTTGTTTGTTTGTTTTTTTAATATGTACCGTGCGAACGGCTGACTAGTCCAGGGGTGTACTCCCCGTCGCCCAAAGTCAGCTAGCAGAGGTGACGGCAGCTTCGACCTACCCCGTACACGCTCTCCATTTTCTCCGTACTCCAACGGTTTTCCGCGCTTTTGAAGTATATACGTGTTGGAAGACTCTTTCTTGGCCAACAGGTGTGAGTGTCAATAGTTATTTTTTTTTTAATTATATGTACCGTGCGAACGGCTGACTAGTCCGGGGGTGTACTCCCCGTCGCCCAAAGTCAGCTAGCAGAGGTGACGGCAGCTTCGACCTACCCTGACCCTCACGGGGACAAGCGTGACAGAAAAGAGAGGGACGGAAAGCTGGAGAAAAGCCACGCAAGCGCATACAAAGGCTACACAGGAATTAGAAGCCCGTAACTCTTGTGTTCATTGTTGTTCTGCAGGTGCATCACAAGTCTCTCAGCCTGGGAGAAGTGCTGGATGGCGACAGAATGGCCGAATCGCTGTATCAAATTAGCTTCCGAGAAAATGTGCAGAAGAAAACTCTTTGTCAGCTCACGCTCTCGGACAATCAGGTATTGAAGAGACTCCGGATTTCAATATGCCCCATCGCCGGCCAAACGGGATGGCTTTGCGCTCGTTGAGCTTGAAAATCTAACGATGGATTTTGGGTGACTGGTTGGCAGCGGCCTACGGGTGCGAAGCCAGTCGGTGTTGTTGGCTCACGGGAAAATACTTTTTTTGGGGGGGGGGGGGGGAATTAAGGTCCCGGGTGATGTTTTCGCCGTTTGGTCAGGGACTCAGGATGTGTGTTTTTTCGACTGCCGTATGTTGTAGGTGGACCAGCTTCGCGAGGCCATCGAGGAGCTCTACTACTTTGAATTTGTCCTGGACGACATTCCCATCTGGGGTTTTGTGGGCTACATCGAGGAGAGCGGCTTCCTGCCACACAGCCACAAAGTAAACTTTTTCATGTCTCACTGTGGGGCCGTAAAGGAACGGATTGGCCGAGGGACTTGGTGAAAGATGAAAAAAAAAAAAGAGAGAGAGAGAACTGTGGGAGCGGTGCGGCGATCCCGGCGCAGCGTCCTTTCTTTTGACTCTGCTGCTCTGCCTCTCTTTGCTCGCCGCCAACAGGTGGGCCTGTGGACTCACCTGGACTTCAACATCGAGTACAACGGCGACTCTGTCATCTTCGCCAACGTCTCTGTGAAGGACGTCAAGCCCGTCCCCTTAGAGGACGGTGCCGGAGCAGCCGCGGGTGGCGTCGGGGTCGGCGGGGGAGGTCTGACGGTCACGTACTCGTACAGCGTGCGCTGGTTCGAGTCCCCCCTGCCGCACGCCCGTCGAGCGGAGCGCCTCAGGGACCATTCCTTCTTCCCCAAAACGCTGGAGATCCACTGGCTGTCCATCATCAACTCGCTGGTGCTCGTGGTGCTGCTCCTGGGCTTCGTCATCATTATTCTCATGCGGGTCCTGAAGAACGACTTTGCCAGGTTGGTCGTCGCCGAAACCGACTGCGGATTTCTGGCTATTTTCACCGCACAAGTCGCACCAGTCGGATGAGCAAATAGGAAATAAGAGACCTGGGTCGGGGAGTGAGCTTTTTGGCTCGCCGCATCTGGCGTAAACGTACGTCAGATGGGGCGGCGCGGCGGTCGACCGCTTAGCGCGTCGGCTTCACGGTGCGCAGGTGCGGGCCTCCGTTCCGGCTGCGGCCTTCCTGTGCGGAGTGTGCCTGCGCAGGGCTTTTCCCCACGTACTCGGCTTTCCTCCCACATTGCAGGTTGATTGGGCGCTCCAAATTGTCCCTCGGCGCGAATGCGATGGGCCGGCCACCGGCTCAGGGTGTGCCCCGCCTACGGCCCGGAGACGGCTGGGATAGGCTCCGGCACGCCCGCCGCCCACCTGAGGAGAAGCGGTTTGGATCACGGCAGCCTCTCTCTCGGGTCGAGCGTACATGAGGGCAAAAGCGAATCAAATGGCCGTCTCTCTGTCGCCCTTCCATCTGTTATCTGTCTGTCCGTCTTATCTCCAAGTTTGCGTGAAGCTGATGGAGCCGGTGCCCCGTTTGCTGTATTTTATTTAGCCTTTCAAACAGAAGTGCATTTGACAAGAAGTGGAGTTGCGCGCTCATCCTGCTCAATCCTACCAAGCGTTCTCTCGTCTGCAGGTATAATGTGGAGGAGGAGGCGGGCTCCGATGACCTGGACCAAGGAGACAACGGCTGGAAGATCATACACACCGACGTCTTTCGGTTTCCCCCTTACAAAAGCCTGCTGTGTGCCGTGCTCGGCGTGGGGGCCCAGTTCCTTACCCTTGCCACGGGTGCTTACCTCTTGTCAACCGCACGCACGCACGCCAGGAGCAGTTCTGGTCTTGCTCTCCTCGCCGTAATACCGCCTGCCACTGTGTTGTAGGAATCATTGTCATGGCGCTCCTGGGAATGTTCAACGTGCACCACCACGGCGCCATTAACTCCGCCGCCATCGTTTTGTACGCTCTGACCAGCTGCGTGTCGGGCTACGTCTCATGCAGCTTTTACACGCAAATCAACGGCAAGCGTTGGGTGTGGAACATCATCTTGACCTCGACACTCTTTTCCGGTGAGTCCGCTCGGAAGGATGAGACCTGGAAACGGACTCGGATGCGGCGGTTGGATTTTGGCCCAAGTTACTAAGACACGTAACATCAAATTCGATCCAATTTTATCGAGAATAGTAAAAGCGTCTCCTCGTTTTTGACGGTATTAGCCAGTCGGAGCATTTTCCTCACGTGCGGCTCTCCTGTTGGGAAGAGAGTGCCGGGACGCGACCAGAGTAGCCATTTTGCCGGCTCTAATGGCACCTTTGAGTACCGGTCAGCCTGGTTTGCTCAACCGTCATCAGTCGCCATTTGCGACTGGAAAACGAGTCAGGTTAGCCGTTATGCCGCAACATGCTGCCAGGAACAGCATAAAAATAAAAAGCCTACCCAGGCATTGATGTCCATCTCTTATTTGGTTCGGAAGCTTTCTTTTCAAGTTGGCCTTCTTACCGCCTTGGATCAGTCGCCATTTGCAACGTGGCAATGCCTGTCTGGAAAACGAGTCAGGTTAGCCTTTATGCCGCAACGTGCTGCCGGGAACAGCATAAAAATAAAAAGCCTACCCAAGCATTGATGTCCATCTCTTATTTGATTCGCAAGCTTTCTTTTCAAGTTGGCCTTCTTACCGCCTTGTTATTGTTATTGTTGCCGCACAGCCGAGGTGCTTTCTAGGCTGCAGTTAAAAGTTTGGTCACCTTGTGTATTTGGATTTTTGAGGGGAACTGAGGTTAGGGTTAGGGTTGCAGTCACTGTCACCTTCCAGTCCTGCAGGGCTCTCGGGTAACCGAAAAGGTAGCGATGACCTCAAACGATTGTAACGGCGACTATTCCAGGCAATGTATCCCTTCTTCCCACAGCTCCTCTGTTCCTGACATGGAGCGTGGTCAACTCCGTCCACTGGTGGAGCGGCTCGACGCAGGCCTTGCCGGCCACCACCGTGCTGCTGCTGCTGGGGGCCTGGGTGCTGGTGGGCTTCCCGCTCACCGTCATTGGCGGTATCGTTGGCAAGAACCGAGCAGGCGGCTTCCAGGCCCCCTGCCGCACTCGCAATATTGCCCGGCAGATCCCCGCCCAGCCCTGGTACAAGCACGCGGCCGTGCACATGGCCATCGGCGGCTTCTTGCCATTCAGGTCAGATCATGTTGCTCATGCTACCAAAAGAAGAAGCTTTTACTTGCTTTTGAGCTTGAATGTAACACAACATACGAAGGAGTATTAGAGCAGTACTGCAAAGGAAGCAATGGTCAATGACAATAGCTAGAAGCAGCGAGTAATGGATGCCCCCCCCCCGCCCCCCCCAAAAAAAACCCTTACTGCCCATGTTCATCGCGTAAACTCTAAATGCAAGCAAACGATGATCCCAAAAGACTTATTTCCAATGAGCCGCCGGGAGCAGCTTCTTTCAAAGGGAATCAGCTGCCGGGCTTTCTGGAGTGTTTGGGGTACATGAGCAACACCTCGACTTGACTCTTGGATTCTAATTTTGCAGGTTCTAAAAGCAAATAGCCAAGAAAAGGGTTTGTGCTGTGTCAGTGCGGCCCAAATGCTCCTTTGTATCAAGGCGTTGCTTGTTTTTGCCCAAAACCTAGTTTGTGCTTTCCGTCCCCCCCGATAGTGCCATCTCGGTGGAGCTTTACTACATCTTCGCCACAGTGTGGGGCAGGGAGCACTACACGCTCTACGGCATTCTGCTGTGCGTCTTCGCCATCCTCCTCTCGGTGGGCGCCTGCATCTCGGTGGCCCTCACCTACTTCCTGCTGTCAGGCGAAGACTACCGCTGGTGGTGGCGGAGCGTCCTCAGCACGGGCTCCACTGGCCTCTTCATCTTCATTTACTCGGTGTTCTACTACAGGAACAGGTCCTCCATGAGTGGCCCGGTGCAGAGCACCGAGTTCTTCGGCTACTCTCTGCTCACGGCGCTGGTCTTCTCACTGATGCTGGGCAGCGTGTCCTTCTGGGCGTCGCTGGCTTTCATTCGCTACATCTATCGCAGTCTTAAGATGGACTAGGCACGCGAAGCTCCGGAAAGCTTTGATAACGCCGCGCGCCGGTGGCGGTCTTTGGCCTCCCGTTCTTTTTAGGCTCATGCGCACGCCCGACATGGGAGAACATCCCGGGACTCAGACCGGAGCCAGCGGTCCAAGTTGAGGAGCGATCAGAAATGATCATGGATTGTCTGATGAAAGGTGCATGTGGGGCTGGTTTAAAAAAAAAATAGGGTGTTGTGACTTGTCACAGACCCCCTGCCCCATTCAGGAAGTAGTTTCAGCTGTTTTTTTTTTTTTTGGTGGGGGGGGGGGTGTAACACACAAATGTTGATAAATTATTCTCCAAAATGCACCGCGTAACAAAGTAACTTGCAATAGAATTCTTTGTCAACTATTTGAAAGCAATGCTTTTCATTGGTCCCGCACAGGAGATTTTGATGCCTTGTTGAGGAAATGGTGTATAGTATCGGCGAGGGGAGCAATATCGACATTGCGGCCGCCTTTAACTGTGATTTGTTCTGATCGAAATACTCTTTTCAATAAAACAAATTTCAGAAATACAATAATACCAGACTCACTGAATGGCATCGAGTAGACTGTGAGGTGTTTTATAACAGAATATAGACACAAAAACATTGTTGGTTTCCACACAAAAGTATTTATGACGCAGATTGAATTGGTCCTTATCTTCACACTTTCAAAAAAAAAAAAAAAAAAAAAAAAACCCCAAACCTCAATGCATGGTGATGTTAACAAGTACGTCGAGCACTGAAACTTTAAATAGTCGCATATAAAAAAATAAAACTTGGTGGTAAAAGGGCAAAATATTTTTGCTCCGCTGTAAGACCTCTGTACATCCACTGGCCTGAAAAAAGAATTCTAATCTCAGGACCCTTGCGGAGAATACACAACAGATGCGCCCTACTGGCCCAAGTTAGGTACAATGACTGTAATTGGCGAGTTCGGGCTGGTGACAGACACTGCATCTTTGCCATCAAAACTGGTGTCAGGCTCCATGTTGCCGGTTGACTGGAACACACCCGAGTTGTATTCGTGCTGGTTGAAGCCCGCAGGCACAGCCCAGCCAACCGCCTGTGGCCGAGTGGGCATCGCGGCTTGAGGCGGGCCAGATGACCACGCGGACAAAGGAGCGGAGCCACCAGAACTGCCCATCCGAGCAAGATAGAAGGCCAGGTTCTGCGGCGCCGGCTTCTTGAAGGTTGCGTCCATCATGGGGTGATTGTAGTACTCCTTGAGTGGCGGTCTTTGGGTCTCTAGTTGATACTGAAAGGACAAGACGGGTGGTCATCAGAGCGAGTGGAGTTCCGTTATCTATTTGATGTTGTTGCGCCTCGCCTTTAAGCCCCGCGCCAAACTATGGTTCGAGCTCCAGAATGGACGCGTCGCTCTATGTCCAAGCCGCTGTATTTCCGTCATGAGCAGACGGGAAACCCGGGCCGGACATTGGACAAAACAGAAATCGGTCGATCGGACTTGCTTACAGGTGGAACGTGGTTAATGACAGTTCCGCTAAGGGGGGTGGCTCGGCTGCGACTCTTGGTGGCGGTGTAGCGTTCTGACACCCAGTTGTTGTCCTTCTGGTGTCTCCTCAGCTTCATCCTTCGATTTTGAAACCATGTCTTCACCTACAAGCCAAAAGGATAAACACGACTCAGGGGAATTGTTTTCAAATGGCCTCCGACCCGGCTCCAGCCCCCAAGCAAATTCCCACATAGACCGCCGACCTGTTTGTAGGTAAGCCCCGTGAGTTCAGCGAGGTTCTTCATCTCGGCCGGGGTGAGGTATCTCTGCACGCTGAAACGCTGGACAAGAGTGTGCATCTGGCTTTCGGAAAAGGAAACGCGCACCTTTCCTTTAGGGGTCTCGGCGTTAGAGCTTGGTTTGTTCGGGGCCGGAAAAGGCGCTTGCGCGGAGAAAGCGTTAGCGTTCTGGTTGCCCACATCGTTGCAGGAGGGCAGCTCCTCCATCAGCGAGCTGGAAACGCGGTCTCCTGCGTCAGGGCTCCTGCTCCTGCTGTATGTGTCATCGCGGAGCTCTTTCTTCACCCACGTGGCAGGGTCTGCCTGCGGAAGGCCGCTTTCTCGCCCGCTACTAAAACTCCATGAATCTGAAAGGGAAGACAAAGGAGAGCGTCTATTCTGACCATATAGAGGGCCGTAAAGTACTATTTCCCCCGTCCGGATTTCCGTCTTCTTTGCATATTTATCACATGCAAAGGGTTCCGTCCATCAAACCAATTTTAATGCCACATGCACGGACAAGGGATATGTATATAATACAAATAGTACAGTACGAGTACAAATCTCGTGTCGCTTCATGGTATTAAAAACAACGGCTGAAGAAAATGAAATACTCACAAGACCGTGCCTGGTTACTGCCGGTCAGGGGTCAGATCTCAGTTTCAATAAGGTGAGTGAGGTTGGCGTCGCTTACCGTGGGTCATAATCACAGCAATTTATGAAGGAATAGGTTCAAAAAGGACAACTCGTGACTCCAAGCAGACCCCCCACCCCCCACCCCGAAAAAAATTCCACCCAAATTTTATGCGCAACTTTCCGTCGTAGCGTTAACTTGTAGCATAGTAGCGAAGCGTTTCGTTGAGCTAACAAATGTTAGCTTTGGGAGCGGCAAATGCCAAACGTACCGGGAGAGGCGTGGGCCTCCGAGTCACTTGTGGAGTCGCTGGCGGCCCTCCCGCTTTCTCCGGCGGCTCGGTGCGTTCCAGCGAGAAGCAAGCGACCAGCTTGACTTTCGCCGAGGTACACGAGACCGGAGCCCTGGTAATGGCAATGACCGTTGGCGACGTGCTGCTCCGGGCTACGAGGCGGAGACTCTTCGCGGGTCCTGGCGGCGGCGGCGTAGTAAACTTGCGTCACCCCGGGTGAGTAGTTGGTAAAATCGGGCGGCGGTGCTTCGCCCCAGCCGGTAACGTGGCAGTGGTTCTGTTCGTGCCCGGATTGATACATGAGGCCGTACGCGTAGGCGTGGTAGGACGCGTTGTAGTTGTAGCTTATCTGGGTCTTCCAGTCTGCCATTTTTTTTTCTCTTAGTTTTAAAATGCGGAGGAAATGTTTGAAAAAAGCCACCGAGCAGAAAGCGACACAACTGTAACCCAGTGGCTCACTTAATGTTCGTAAATCGCGCCACCTCGCCGGGCGTCGTGATCAAGGAGGCGCCTCGGGCAGGTGTGGCTGCGGGGGTTGACATTTCAACCAATCGGATGCCCTCACCTGCCCAGGAGCGATTCTTTCCTTGGCCCGCTCCACACAACACTCCTTCAATTCGTCCACTTTTTCAAACACTGTGGATACGCGATTGGATTCAGTGCAGTGAAAAAACAAAACTTGATAGCAGGGGTGCGCAAAGGTTTTCATTTGAGGTCGAGAAAAAAGCGGAAGGATGAAGGGACCACCGCCTCAACTTTTTGAAACACTCTAAAGCCAGTCAAGAAAGCAATTCTATCCTGTTAGTATTGTCTGGTTTATTTCATCAGCTTTCCGTTGAAGGTGTGAAGGCAAATGGTTGAGGATTTTTGGGGTGGCCAACAGCCCGTAGCTCACGGCGGGATCCGGCTCTGCACTCAAGAGCAGCCGAATCCCATCGCCACATTTAGGACCCAAGAAAACAAAAAACAAACAAAAAAAAAAACTGTCGTCAGGTGACCATTTTTCAAACGGTTACTTCAGGACCATTCGTGTGATGTCTTCATAAATCAGCCTCTAAAATGGAATTCTCTTATTTCACTCCAGGGTTTTGAAGATAAATTGTGTTATTCTTTGAATCATAAATGGCTTATTTGTGGGCAGCACGGTCGTTGACTGGTTAGGCCTCAAAGTGCAGAAGGGCAGGGTTCGATTCTGGGCTGCGGCCATCATGTGTGGATTTTTTTTTTTTTTTGAACGACAAATGAAACTTTCAAAAGAGCTGTTTTGGCAAGTTCCAAAGTTCCAAGTATTGACCCTAGATTGGTTTGTCGTAATCCACGTTTGTTTGATTGAGGAGGGTCCTCAGAGGACTGAAATGGCCCCCACTGGGAAGATTCCCCCCCCCCC